CTTGTTCGAGCAACCCCGCAGAGGCCTGCCCCACAGGGCGAGCAGGACCCCTTTGGCCAAAGGCTGCAGGAGGACAGCGATGAGCACCCTTGGTGGGGTCCCCAAAACGGGAGACGGTTCTCTGACAGACTGGATATGACAGGGAGCTTCAAGGGACACGCTCCTGTGCTGGCAGCTCCGAGCGACCCAGACACAACCAGTGCCTGACCCCAGAGGTCTGGCACCAGCGCTGGCATGCTTCAGTTGAGGACTAAGCCCATTGAGATGGCAGCCACCACCATCTCACCCATCTCCAGTCACCTGGAAGAGACCTTCTCCTCCACGAAAGAGAGCAGATATTCATAAGCAAGGCCTTCAGCGCCCTCCCTTGTCCTGCAGATACTCCAAAACACCACGTGCACCACCCAACCACCACCCATCCACAACTATCCCCAAATCCGGCACATCCCATCATGGTTTCAGGCACAGAGGGGCGTGTGGCCCTAGAGAGAGGCACAGAGGCACCGGCTTCCCAGTGCAGCCACGCTGGTTCGCGGGCACCACGGGACACGGCGCTCCCGGCCCCACGGCAAGCGGTGGGGACAGAGACTGCGGCCAGCAAGGGAGCAAAGCGATCGCAGCAGAGCGACAGGTTTCACTATTCAGAGGCAGGACCCACTTTTCCTCACTCAGCGAGGGCAGAGCAGTCCGAAGCAGCTGCCCACCGCCCCGGTGAAGGATCAGCATCGTGCTCCCCGCCCGCGTCCAGCTCGGTGAGCTGGAGTTGGTGTTGCCAACGGGGGAGCATTGGCGGCTGAACACGAGGAGGCCCGTGGGTGCCCCACGCAGGACGGGTCTCAGAGGGCTCCTCTCCGTTAAGGAGCCGAGATTTCTGCAGAGGCAGCCGCTGCCCCTGGGAAATGGGGAGGAAGAGCTCTTACCCCTCATCCCACTGCTTTTAGACCGTTTGAGGTGGTCAGGGTATGTATGTGGTGAGGAAAATAGAAATAAAAATCAAAGACCTAGACAAGCCACGAAACAGTTCCCGGTCAGACAGTTAAAATGTGACATCGCTTGGCTCTCAAGAGCACCACGAGCTGTTATCTGCTCTCCCAGCCCCTTCCCAGCAAAGGTTACCCCGTCTAAAGTCCTCTTCCCCACGTAACACTCTGATAAGGATTCCAAGAAAAATTTCACGGGCTACGAAACTCCCTGGCTCAGGTGCTCGGGGCCGAGCAGGGCAGCTCCTGGCACCCACCCGCCCCGGGTGCCCACGGCTGGGGCAACACCCCTGCAGCTCCCCAGCTTCGGTGCCTGCCGCCGGCCCACACGAGCCCAACCTCAAGGTCACAAGCAGCGTTAGGGGAAGCAAATCAAAGCCTCCACCCTCCCGCACCGCTGCAGACACAACCCGCGCTCCCCTCGAGATAAGGGGGGCTCGGTTGGCAGGAGGAGACCTGCCAGCAGAGAGCAGCTCCAGGTCCTCACCCTCCCCACGGCCTTGCACTAGCCACCCTCTCTGCACCCACGGCTCGTTCCTCCCTCTGTGCTCCTCTGCTGGAAAGCCCATTTCCCCTGGAAGCAGCCCGTCCGTTTCAAAAGCTGGGAGGAAAGCGGTGGGAAAGGGCGAAGTAACACCCCCCACAAGACAGATGCCAGCAGGAGGAAGGGGCACCAGGTCTCGCCGGGCTCTGAGCACGCAGGCGAGGAGCTCACAGCGTTTGCTCCCACCTGAGCCGCAGAGCAAACGGCAGCAGAACCCCGAGCCGGCGCGGCACAGAGGCGAGGTTTAAGCCGCAAGGAATTTCCATCCCAGCTTAACGCCATTTCAGCGGACAGAATTCCAAATGCTTTACAAGGTAATAGGATTTGCACCGCTGGTTAGGGAAGGAGGAGGGCTGGAGACGGATTAGATCTCATTATCTCCAAAACAGCCTGGAACAAGAAAACAGATGCAACGCCTGGAGCAAGGGAGGGGAAGCGGCTCTGGAGCCTCTGTAAGGCACCTCAGGGCAGCTTCCCCCGGGAAGCTTTCCCCTCTGCCCCCAGACACGCGGGATAATGGTCAATAAGCAGCTTTTCCCCATGGTCACACACATTCCCACCTCGCTTGCAGAACTCAAAGACCTGGAACAACCTGTTTCTCGGGGGAGAGGGCAGCAGACCAACAGACCCACGGGGCCCCGACAGACCCACGGGGCTGAGCTAGGGCTGGTTCTGGCACCAGCCTGCCTGCCACCCTCAGGGACAG